CCCCATACATGTTGCATGTTCTGTTAACGTTATTAGGTATTGGTTAAGACTGATTTATATGGACAGTGAAAAATTTATTGGGCAATACTGTCTTTCAATACAGAAAAACACAAAGAAAGAGCCTTGTTGGGCCTGATATGTAAAAATTCTATTATGATCCATTCGTTTTGGAGATATTTGGCATGAACAAAAAGTCAACGATTTTAATGATTTTGTATTTAATCTAAAACAAATGTTAACAGACATTGAGAATCAAAGGTTTTTTGAAGAAATTAGGCAACATTCTAAAATGTAGACAATCACAGACATAAAAAATTTATTGGGCAATACTGTCTTTCAATACAGAAAAACACAAAGAAAGAGCCTTGTTGGGCCTGATATGTAAAAATTCTATTATGATCCATTCGTTTTGGAGATATTTGGCATGAACAAAAAGTCAACGATTTTAATGATTTTGTATTTAATCTAAAACAAATGTTAACAGACATTGAGAATCAAAGGTTTTTTGAAGAAATTAGGCAACATTCTAAATTAAAATTGTATTCACAAATTAAACATGAATTCAGAGCGCAGAGGATTATCTAAAAATGTAGACAATCACAGACATAAACAAATCCTTACGAAATTAAGTTTGGGGATATTAGAATTAAAATTAGAAAGAGGAAGATGGTATAAAGTTAATAGAAATGAAAGATTATGCAAATTATGTTCGTTACAAAAAGTCGAAGATGAATATCATTTTACCTTAGTTTGCCCTTTTTATTCTGATATTAGAACGACATTTCTATTTACCTGTTACACAGACACTCCGTCTGAATTCAAATTTCTTAATTTAATGTCTACTAAAAATATTGATCTAATTTAAAAGTTATCAAAATGCTTATTTTACTCATTTAAACGCAGAAAAGAATATTTAGATGCAATCTAATTTTGTTAATATCATATTTTGTATATTATTTGGGCCAGAGGCCTATGTGATTAATAAATGTTCCTTGAACCTGTTTTCAAGGAAGAAGAAGAAATGAAACCCGGTTTGCCGAACCCAGTTTTGCCGAAGTTTGCCGTTGTTGTCGTACAAACCTAGGCCTACTTGCTTTTGAAAAATGATGAAAGGGCTAAGGAGGAGCCTAATAATAATAAGAAACCTAAAAACTTCCACAGAAGAGTAGCAGTATCACTAACTAGTACGTTTTAAACTTCGGTGTCTCACTCCGGGTTCTGAAAGTTATTAAATTACCGTCAGTAATTACGTTTCTGCATCGAACTAATCTAATAGCAAGAAACTCGTGACAGCATCGCAAGTCTCTTTCGCTGTTATCGATTTACTAACTTTGAGTAGGCCTCCCTGGCAGGCCTAATCGTACAATCTACAGTCAGTGCTGGCTAAATTGCACAGCCATTATGTATCTATTTCCCGGTTTTCTGCATTCTCCGACTTTAAACGTAGGTGTATTCAAATCATCAAACATTTCACTCTGCTTTGCGAATAACTGTTAATGTTCTTAATCTTTTTTATGGCTTGTTCAGGTTCGTTGTATTGGCTGGTAATCAATTAACGATGTTTGCAGTGAGTGGCTTATGGATCTGGATAACGCTTAGGGGTCATTTATGTATTATGTAACACATTTTTTGGCAAATATTGACACCCACCACCCCTCGTAACACTCTGTAACACTTTTCCAAACCCCCCTTTAAATGTTATGTAACTCTAGAACCACCCCCGCCCCCCTTCCGAACATCAACAATTTTAATAAAATCAGATGAACAACATTAAGTGTCAGGATAAATGTCCTCCACTACAAATTTGTCCTACACTACAAATTTGTAGATGTTTTGTTATTTTTTGGTAAGGTAGATGTAACTTCATTGTTTATTGATTTCACAAATTCAGCACAACTGTGTTACATTACATTGTATTACACTGATGTAATATGTTTCAATAAAGTAATATCATACAAGTTTGAATATTTAATATTTCTTCTCTTCCCATGAAAATTTATTGTGTTATGTAACACTTCAAGCAACACCCCCACCCCTATGTTGCACACTGTAACATTTTCCACTATACCCCCACCTCCTCTGCGTTACATAATACTTGAATGACTCCTTAGTTTTATCATTGGAACTTATATTTAAAAAAGCAATACATTTTATTAAGTACTGTATTATTTGCTAGAAAGTTTATATAATTAGGCCTTTCACAAAAAGTTTTTACAATTAATTCTTGTTCTGTGTACGGTACTCTATAAAATTGATGCCCAAGCAGAGTTGCTATACTAGGCCAAATCTTTCCTAATTAAGTTTTTAGAATTGCTGTCTTTAAATTTATCCGTAGTTTTAACGCTTTCTTCAGTTTTGGACACACCCTAATCTTTATCCAGGTTCTGCAAATCATATTCATATACTGGGTTTTCGAAGTCTAATTCGCTAGCATTCTATGGAGAAAGAACATTATTTTACTGTAATAATTAGTGAAATTATTATAACTGTGTTTTACATAACAAAATCGTTATTGAAGTTAATTAGATGAAAATTGTTGTATTTTCTTATAATAAAGAATTTTACACTGCAATTAATTTATTAGTTAAATTATAAATTAAGAGAAATTCTGAAATTGTTTAGAAAGTTTATGTTATCGTCTGCTTTTTCCTCCTTCTCAAACAGTCTGAGGTCTTGTTTTGTGACCGTACTGGTCTGTGTAAACTCTTGAATAATACAGCCAAACTTTCCAACAGAAAGTAACATAAAGAAGAATTGAATTATATTTTGCCTTCAAATCCGTCTTTATAAGCAAGACGAAGACATAAACTTTCTTGAAAATAGTTAAATTAGGTTTTAGTAACTAATCAAAGTAACATCAGTATTTGTATGTATACTTACTGAAGAATGAAAATTATTATCCAATTTATGATGTGTTTTCTTTTTGAAAATGAAGGTAATAACGATAAGGAGCGATAAAACTCCCAATATACACAAACATATTATCGCTATTTTAACACCACCAATGCCTGCAAGAAATTATCTAGCTGTCAGTTAAATAAAATATATGCATCGTAAACTGTGATATGCCCATTGCTAACAAATAATTCAGATTAGAATGATAACACAAAGCTTCTAGTCTACTACGGGTATTTGAAATAGTGCTTACGGCTCGCAGGGCCTCAGCCTACACTGGGTTACCAAATTAATCTATAATGTGATCCTACCTTATGGCCTGCTAAAGGCCCTATCAAATCAAATCAAATATCTTTATTGGCAACCACAGTATACATTGATTGAATTATACAATAAAATAGTAAAAAAATTATAATACATTTAAAAAAGTTTACAGGATCAATCAAAAATTTTATATTTATTTACATAAAAAATGATTTCATTATTTATAAAAATATGCAAATTTACAAAAGCAATTTAATCACGTTCAAAACACAAACAAAACACATTTTACATCACAAAAAAAAAAAAAAAAAAAAAAAAAAAAAACAAAAAAAAAAACCCCAAAAACATAAATCATTATCGCTGAGAAGTATCAAGTACTAATAGTGAAGAAGAGTGAGCCCCGTTAAGAACCATCTACCACATACCCTGTCACATAATAGCGAATAGAGTTAACTTATGCCGAGCGTACTGATTTTTTTCTCCGAAGTCCAGATACGCTCAAATACGCTCAAATTCTTTGAAAAAACAAGCATTCTTGCGTAAAGGCCCTGTCACATATTAGCGAATAGACCTGTATGCCGAGAGTTCTCATTTTTTTTAAAGTCCCGATACGCTCAAATACGCTCATTTTTTTTGGCAAAAAAATAACATTGCGTGAAAGACGAACGCCCAACGAATGAGAAACGAATGCTCATCTTACAACTAGCGTCCATTTAACGAATGACAGCGCGTTCGCCCAACGAATGTTCAGCGTACACAACGAATGCCCAGCGAATGTCACACGTATGCCTAACGTTTACAATGCCTTGTAAACGTTGATGTGGGTCGGTATACGCTGAGTGTTCGTTGGCCATTCGTTACTCATTAGTTAGACAAACGCTATGAATACGTTATGCATTTGCTATGGCAACGTTTCAGATGGGATTGAACGTGTTTGGACGAACAATGGACGAACAGAAAACGTAAACCCAACGTGCACGCAACGTGCGAAACGTTCAAACAACTAATGCTCACAGTATACATAGCGTATGTAGCAGAACGTTGTCATACGTTCAAAATTTTTAACATGTCCAAAAATTAAAATCGACCCCAGCGTACCTCAGCGTACCCCAACGAACAGCTAACAAATACAACGTATGCCAAACGTATTACGAATGTCAACTACGCGAACGTAAACCAATATTTTGATAAACGTCGGCATACGTTGGTTCTATACACTAAAGTGTGACAGGGGCTTTAAAGAAAACACTGTTGAGGTGGAGGATGAGTACAACATAAAAGAGAACACTGTAAATTGCTGTCCGGACAGACTCACCTAAACACCCCCTTTACCTGTCATACCTCGTGACTCCGATGTCTAGTCACGTAGCAATCTGATCTCCTCCTTGAAGTCCATTATGGTGCACCACCTCTCAGACCCATGAGGATTCGCTGATGAGCATCCTCCATTTCAGATCTGAGTAGAAATAATGAAGAAAAGGGGGATACTCGCAGCCGCTGTGACGTCACAGACTTAAAAACGATACGTGAACTTTAGCTATACAGTGCACGCACGTTACTATATCGGTAGACTAGCGTCCAGCACGTTAGATAGACGCCATGTGAAAGTTGATGTAGGTCGGTATACTCTAAGTATTCGTTGGCCATTCGTTATCCCATTCGTTACCCATTTGTTAGACAAACGTTATGTATGCATTCGTTATGGCAATGTATGGATTGAACGTATTTGGACGAACAACGGACGAAGAGAAAACGTAAACCCAACGTACGAAACGTTCAAACAACAAATGCTCACCGTATTCATAGCGTATTTAGCAGGTTGTCATACGTTCAAGATTTTGAACATGTCCAAAATTTAAAATCGACCCCAGCGTAGCTCTGCATACCCCTACGAACAGCTAACGAATACAACGTATTACGAACGTGTCACGAACGAATGTCAACTTACGCGAACGTAAACCAAAATTTTCATAAACGTCGGCATACGTTGGCTCTATTCGCTACAGTGTGACAGGGGCTTAGTAATGCCTTATAACTCTCAGTTTATTATGGATGGAAAATGAAGATTATAGTACTTTGAATCATAGCATCCAGCCTATGTTACCAACAATTGTATGTTAAATACAATGTTACATATTTTAAACACTTGGGACAGCAAATGTTAAAATATATTTACAAAAGTATATAATATTTACCTTTATTAGTACTTTTTATTTTGGATCCAACTGCAAGACGTGACGCCAGGCTATAGGATGTAGTAGGGTTGTATATATTATCGTCTGCTGTCTTGTATGTGTTCTTTGAAATGAATACTTCGCTTGGTACTACAGTTGGAAGTGCTTCATATGATGTATTAACATTTTCATTTTGCAGACTGGAAGCGCTGTCCACCGTAGTAGGAAAGAATTGGCTATTAATAGTTGATGTTAATGATGATGATGCTGATGACGACGACGACGACGATGATGATGATGATGATGATGATGATAATGATGATGATGACGACGTTGAAATCAGTGATGGAAATGAAGATGCCGATTCCAGTGCTGACTTTGTCACGTTTTTATATTTACCAGTGTTATTCTCATCCATGTGGGTTACTGTTGTCAAAGTTGATGAAACAGCCTTAACAGAGGAGTTAATAGTATGTTCATTCACAGTTCCACATTTAAAAGTAACGTTACTGGCATAGTCTGTAAATAAAAAAAATATACCATAAACCAATATGCTATGATCCATTCATTAGACTAAATTGCCACTGGTATATACTTGAATGGGGATGCTAGCAAGAAGTGAAACATGTACACTGTGAAATTCACCTTTTTTATGGCCTCAAACAATGAGGTAACATTACTCATACTGGGTTTGCTTGATTAAACGAAATTGGTTAAACATCACTTATAACAATCTGCCAAAATAAATTTTTGTCCGTACCGTCTATTTATCATTCCAGGGTATTAAAATTTGGGCGGGTTACTGTCTATAAGAATGATAATTATTTCTTCAAAAGCAATCAGCGTTTCTGGTTTCTGTATACAAAAAAAAAAACAAAAAAAAAACAAGGACAGATTGACAAACCTTTAACTGTTATAAAGAATGAGCAATTCCCCACGTTGTTATCTCCATCGATTGCAGTGTACGTTATTTGATAGGCATCATCACTCAGCGGAAATACATCCCCAGGATTATGATTCGAGGTAACAGACACCACAGTGCCGCTGTTGTCGGTAGCGTTTGCTGGTGACCAGTACAAACGAGCAGAAAAGGATTCTTTATCAGTGCACACTGACCAAGAAGATTCCGATGTTCTTACAACAAAGTTGTTCGAGTGTGATGGGCAAATTACAACAGGACTTTCAATGTCTATGTTTAAAGATAATATTTTGATTCCACAACAATATTCAAAAAGGATGTAAATAATTAAAAATAAAGAAATTAATGAATATTATTGAAAATCGTTGGGATATTTTTGATAAAAAAAGATTGTCATATACAATTATTCTGTTCAAAGCACGTTGCGTTCGATATTAATTCAAATGAAGGGGAGAATTGAGATAAAACTACATTTTTGGGACGAAAGGTTTCGTGGAATATCGATAAATAGGCCTACTAATGAAGTAGATTATTGAAGTTGGCATTACAATTTGAAAAACAAATGTTATGCCTAATCATAATCATAAAATTTCGTACAACAGGCTAGCATTGATAGTGGACCTTTCCGCTAAATCCCGTCCTTTGGATATCTAATGTCCCACAATTCAATAGTGTAAAACGTACGAACACAGGTGCGTTTGTGGGACAACACGTGTGTTTGTAAGACGCGTGCGTATTGTTGGCCTTATTCTGATTGGTCAGTTGTTAAGATTGATTGATACTCCGGAAAGGTCCTTGTATAGAAAAGCAAGCTTGTGCTTACATACCAACAACAACAAAATGGATCTGACATTCTTTCGAGTTTCCCGATTCGTCGGTTGCTCTTATTGTTGTCGTGTATGGTGGAAAGTCGTTCATTGGGAACACCTCACCAGGCTCATAAGGGAAACTTGTGATAGTAGGAGAAATTCCACTATTATCTTTAGCTACCAGTGGAGTCCATGTGATGGTGCCATTCGGGCTTCCGTCGTCGGTGGTGGCATAAATAATACTGCCGTAGTTCGTTGAATAGTAGTTAGATGTTGTCTGTGGACACTTAAGATGCGGTGGTTCGTTATCTACAATAAGGGGTTACAATTAAAGTACAATAGGACTCGGTAAATGAATTAAATTTATTTTGCTCAAATATATTTATGCAAAACATAATGTACAGAGGGAAAAGAGCAGCACTAGAAGCACAGCTTGCCTCACAAATTGTTCCTACAGCGAAAAAAAAAAAAACAATAATTAACATTATTACGGAATATCTCTGTAGGCCTTTTCTTGTTGACTAACATTTTTCTTTAATAAAGATGCTTTAAGGTTGAGAAACTGTTGAAATTATGTTTGATGTCGGGAGTTCAATGAATTTGAAAGTTTAATTAAAATCCCTGCGTTAGCCAACCTGATATTTTTTTAAATATTTGTGTAACTTCGAAAAACCTTTACCATTGACAGTTATATTAAAGTAACATTCAGCTTCGTTCGATGAATAATCGTGTACTCTGTATCGCACAGTGTAAACTGCAGATCTTCCGTTGTTGAGTTCAAACCAATCTCCTGGTGAATGCGATTTTTTTACTGGTCTTGTATGTCCATTATCGAATACTTCTGGTTCAACCCAACTGACCTCTGCGTAAGAACTTCCCGGCATTGTATCAACAATTATGTCTTCTGGACATCCGGTAAATCGAGGGTCCTCATAATCTACCAGTGCTTTTTATTCCCAAAAGAAAAATAAACAATTAACATAAAGTGCGTTTAATATTTT